TGCTTTCCTTCATGGTGATTTGGCAGCAGATTTCCATGGAGCTGCTAGAGGGGTCCTTGGAACCAGGAACAGAGAATCTTGTGTGTAAATTGAAGAAGTTTTTATACGGGTTTAAGCAGTCTCCATGACAATGGTACAAGAAGTTCGACTCTCATATGATTCAGATTGGCTAAAGTCATTGTGAGTATAATTGTTATATTTACTACAGTGTTCTTGAGGATGATTCATTTATTTTCTTGATGTTGTATGTGGAAGACATGCTAATATTCTAAGAACATGAATGAGGTAGATAATTGAAATATTTGTTGAGCAGTAAGTTTGATATGAAAGATTTGAGATAGGCTAAAAAAATTCTTGGCATGAAGATCAACAGAGATAGGAAGGCCAGAAAATTATGGATGTCTCAAAAAAATTATTTAAAGAAAGTGTTGGAGAAATTTAGCATGTCATATGCAAAATCAGTTGCTACACCGTTGACAAATCACTTCAAATTAATAATTAGTTCCCAGAGAATGAAGAAGAAATTGCATAGATGTCAAAGGTGCCTTATGCTAGCATAGTTGGATGTTTGATCTATGTAATGGTGTTTACCAGACCAGATCTAGCACATGCAGTTAGTGTAGTTAGCAAATATATGGCTAATCCCGGTAGAGAGTATTGAAGAATTGTAAAGTTGATTTTCAGGTACTTGAAAGGTGCAATGGAGTGTGAGATCATGTTTGAGAGACGACACGATGATGTTTTAGTTTAGGGATACGTAGATGCAGATTATGTAGGGGACTTGGATGATAGAAGGTCCTATACAAGTTATATTTTCACACTCGCAGGTGGGCCTATATGTTGGAGATCAACGGTGTAGTCACTTGTAACATTATCTACAACTAAAGCAGAGCATAGACGGCAATTGAGGCAGCCAAGGAATTATTGTGGTTGAGAGGGCTTTTAGGGAACTGGGGATCAAGCAAGAAGGAATGAAGTTGTACTGTGATAGTTAGAGCATCATCTTCTTAGCGAAGAATCAGATTTATCATGCAAGAACCAATCACATTGATATGAGATTTCACAAGATAAAAGAGTTAGTTACTTCAGGAGAACTGTTGTTAGAAAATGTGCATATCTCAGCGAATGCAACAGACATGATGACAAAGCCAATCACAATTGATAGGTTCAAGCATTGCTTTAACTTAATTAATATCTCTAGGTGTTAGAGAGGATGTGTCACAACCCATTGGTCCTAGACGGTGTGGTTTTCCAGGTTATGTTTTTCTCCTAAGGAGTGAATATTCGTTAAGGTGGAGATTGTTGTATATGTGACTCATATAAAGTGAAATACAGATTTCTTGAATCAAATAGGCCAATGCCGGATCGAAGCGGAGTGGAGTGAGGAGAGCGTAGCGCACAGAATGGAATGAAGTGGAGCGACAGCATCGATCTTGCGCGAGTTTAATTCACTATCGGGTTGTTAGGGACACTGAATGGGTTGGGGGTGCGATGGCGTTAGGTACGGTACAGGGGTATTTTCTTATATGAGCCTTAAAATCTTTATGGGCCTAGGTTATGATTAATATAAATAATAATGTTGTAACCCTATTTTTCATATTGAATAATATTATCTTCGCTCCACTCTCGTGGACGTAGGCACACTGTCGAATCACATAAATTCTTATGTTGATTTTTCTATTTCATCTCTTTATTGTGCATAAAATCCAACAATTCCATTACTCAATGATTAAATTTATATTTTGTAGCAAAAAAATTAAAGAGGAAAAATCCAGAATTTTGAGTCCATTCAAAAAATCATGCTTGGTGTACAGGCCCAACCAATATAATCCCTATTCGAATTTGGGTATGAGATGAGGACCTCACCCGCCTCGCTTGAATTCCGTACTTGTTTATATTGAATTAGTCAAATTAGTCAATTACATGACCAAACTGCATGTATGGATCAAATACATGACTACAAATACAATCCAATCACTAAAGTTGAACAATTCTTACAATTTGATAATTCTATCTATCTATTACTTTCATTAAACCCATTTTTTGATAAATAATTAGATTACTACATCACTTTTGTGTTAGTTAAGCTAACAAGCGTAAACGGAAGATCAAATTGTAATAAAGTTTAAGTTCCAACAATTAACTCAACATGGATCTCACTAGACGTTTAGTGAGTACCACTATAAGTTAACTTGCTATCTTGCAATCCAACATAAATTTTTTTCTCCCCTCTTTTTTTTTTTTTTTCAAAAAAAAAAAAAAAATTTTAAAAAAAAAAAAAAAAAAAAAAAAAAAAAAAAGGAAAAGAGAAAACAAATGTAAAGTGTTATGAAACCCAACTAATATATGTATCGTTCTGTGCAGTCCAATTCAATTTTTGACAAGTGGAGCAGGCTGAAAGGCTTGGAGAGGTGATCTTAAAGGACTTAATAGAGAAGACCTCGAGTTTTTCTATGATGGACAAGGTTTCATGTCCCTTCAAATTACGTCAAGTGATGTAAAGATTGTTTTCTTTGATGTTTTTTGCAAAGTTTTGCACAAGTGGACTATGTCCAAGCAACTTCACAATCTTCATTCGTTTATGTAAAATTTAGAGCCAATCGAGGAGATCAAAATCTTGTATAGGTGTAAACTAAAGTATGTAGATATTAGAGGTTTTTCCGACCCTCGAAAAATTGAATACAACATTGGTCAAGGAGGAATGAGAAGTGGAAGCTATTTAGATTCGATTAAAATTTATGTGATACAAGGATGTTTAGAAGTTTTGATGTACATATTTTGGGAATTTTAGTTTCTTTTGTTTTATCTTGAATTTGATCATTTTTCATTTCATTTCTTTTGTTTTGTATTACAAATTGGAGCATCCAATACCATTCGTCTTGGGTAGTAAATTTGTCGTCAACTTGTTTGTCTTCGTAGTGACGCTCTCGACTTTTCAAGTTTGTTGCAAATTAGTTTCCAATTAACGACTCTTTTTGTGGGTACTTTGGTGGGTCTCCAAGATCCTTTTGATGACCTATGTTTTGTTGAAGGGATATCTCTCCCCTTGTAATACCGGACAATATTAAGAGAAAATCCAAAATCAATTAGGTAATGAAAGAAATAAAATAAACATTATTTCCGACTAGGAAACTTGTGTTTAGTTCCATCTTTTCTAGTTATGTTTATCTTTTTTAGGTATATTTGTGATAGAACTTTTATTGTTTATTTTATTAGGACTACAGTTTCTTTATTGATTAGAATAAGATTTTTAATTAGATTAGATTTAGTTAGTTTCCTTTTTTCAATTTCCTAGTATTAGTAGAAATATGTAATAATCTTACCTATAAATATAGAGGCTTTGTACACTTTTTAACAATTCAATTTCATTATTCGATTACTGATTAATAAGATATTTCAGTTTTTCAATTTATTGGTGGATTCGAAATAACTATCACATCCATTCGAGTGAAATTCAAGCATAAACTCATTCGTATGCTACAAACAAGACCCTTTTATTATTATCCACGTTTCCCTCCTGTATCAACCTAAAAATAGGCCCACAAAGTACTAAAGCACTTTAGTCGATGCGATTTTAAGGTTGCTACTTAAGTCGTGTTCGTCATGGAACTTTAATACTAACCTATACATTTAATACTAACCTATACATTATAGCCGATATATAAATTCGTTTTGCTTAAAGACTATCTTGTACAAAGTTTTTGTATCATTGCTTTGGTCGCGCCTTTGGTACATTGTATGAGAGAGAGATTATAGAATATAAGTTACTATTTTTACTTATAAGTGAAATTATAATTGTTATTTAATTTAAGTAAATTATTCAATTCAACTATTTTTTTTATCAGTTCATAAAATGGTTGAATAAATAATACTTAACTCACCTCAGGTATGGTCGATTAAAGGAGGTTCGAATCCTGAAATATGGATTTGACTCTTAAATAAGTGCAAGTGTACAAGCAGCTTTCCATCATGTACCCTTGCAAGCATAACCTGCGATTTACCTCCCTCATGATGCTCCAGGACAGGGGTGGTGAGGCACCCTTAAAGTTAGGGTTTAACCATTTTTTTTTATTAAAGGAGGTTGAACTCCAACCTTGAAAACCCTCTATTAGTTCAATCTTTTTAATAATTGCATCAAAATTCGTATAAAGATTAAATTATTCGTGTCTTATCTAACAAAATATAATGCGTCAGGCCTGCCCTGCAGCCCTAGAACTAGTAATCTATGTATCTTTTAGTTTTTAAGTAAATATCATAAATCATACCTGAACTTTTAACCTCATACCTTATAGGTATCCAAACTTTCAATTATGTTTCCATCTATTCCTAATTTAACCACACCTTAATTATAGATACCCAATCTTTCAATTTTTCCCTAATCGATACTCGAACTTCTATACCTAATCTAACTAAGACATTTCTCGATTTATGCATAGATATATCCATATTTCTTGGGAATTTATCATTTCTCTTTATTTTCACGTTCGTCGTGGAAGAACCAGTCTTGGAGAAAAGTTGATGGACGAAGAAATGGAAGATATTGTACAAGAAACCAACATGTGTGGCCAAGGTCAAGTGAATTATAAGCAATTTGCGAGAATGAGTGATTACGAGTATTTGCCACTCATAATGGGTTGTTATGTAACATTGTAACATAAAGTCAGTGGTTTTCCTTCTATATCCATTATTTTCCATGTTTATGATATCCCATCTTCCATATAACTATCTCTTTTTCGTCTAAAAGTTTAAACTTTTAAAAGGAAATCCTAAACTATGGATATAAAGAAATAAATATCTCCCCTCGACTAAACTCATTAGCTCGTTTAACAATTTTCATCATCAGCTGCCCTTAATTCATTTCTAGGGCACTCGATAATTTTTCGACGGGCCTCAAATTCTGTCAAGAATAACCAATGTTTTCGACAGACCAAATAAAACACATAAAACTACAGAATGCAAATTAAATAAGAATGGGACTTAGAAAAAGTTAAAACTAAATGGAGAAGAAAGGTCATTCTTAGACGATTGATGGACGTCAAAAGAGAAAAGATAATAGAGTTGTAGAAGATCACGAACGAGGCCTTCTTCCAAGCTACTGAGTAAGAGAAGATGCATTACCAGTAGATGCAGAAGCAGTGGAAGAATTTTTATGATTATGCATCCAAACTTTGAAAACTTTCCTACTAATTCCAATCCCTCTGCAAAACCTCTCGGTTTCATCTTCTTCATCTTTCCTCAGCAACTTCCACCCCAACTTCTCAGCGAATTCGAGCATTTTTTCCTTTTGCTCTTCTGTGAACTTTGTCCTAAATCTCTTCTTGCTGCTTCGCTCTGATTCCGGCGATTGCACTCCACTGCCGCCACCATATTCTATCATCTCGGCCCCCGTCCCATGTGCCATGCCCCCGCTACTGTAGCTTGCTCTATAGGTGATTTTCCGATGGAAGTTGCGGTGGCAGCCACACGCAGCGCAGCATAGGCCACCCGGGAAAGTGTCGTCTAGAGTAAATTCTCCACAGCCATCAGTTGCATAGCTACCAAGTGTAGCTGCATGATTTCTTAGACACTCTCTATAGTTGTCATTAAGGTTGTCTTCTTCCATCTCAATGCTCCTCGTTGAACCAACAATTTACCTTTTCTTCTCTGCACGAAATTTGACAGATCTATATAACATTAACATTGTCTATTTGTGGAATCATTATTTGGGGAACAAAATGAAGGGAAATATAGTTTATGTTATATTATATAAGTTGTATATGTGTGTTGTGTGTGGTCGTTGTGAGGCTACATCACTGTTATGATACTTGTAAATTGGGATAAGTATAAATATTCCACCCCCCCACCCCCCACGCCCCCAATACACAAACACAGTAAGAAAGAGATACAAGAGCACTGTAGTCTTATAATCAATGGCATTTCCATATATAGACATACTGGGGGCCCGTGAACAGTATGGGATTGACTCAATCATGCGCATAGGGAACATGCAGAAAATAATACACAATACACAGCTAGCCCTTTTTGTCCTTGTGCTCATTTTGAGAGAACTCAGATGTGTGTGAGAAATTCTACTATTAGTATTAGTAACTTGTAATAATCACTCCGATTGCTTTGGAAATGACACTCGAAGAGTGAGCTTCCAGGGGCTTGCTTTTAACATTATAAAAATCAGGCATTACGAGGTGGACGGGAGGTCTTATGCACATGTGGTATGACCATCCACTCAAATCATGACACCTCTAATGCTAGGTGGGTAAGAGAGAGAAATAGAGTGGTGGACTCACCCACTAGGCATCCAAGTATCGTGATTTAAATGGTTCAGGATAAAAAATGTAATAATTTGAGCAAATTGTCTCAATCAAGTCTTTCTTGGTGAAAGAAGCCGAGCAAGTGAAGGGAGGCATCACGAGCCAACAGCTCCATGCGCTAGCTTACAATGGCTAAAATGCCATTATTTACTGAGCTGTTCTCGTTAAAGAATTTTATTTTCAGGACCCCTCAAAATGAAAAAGAAAAAGAGAACGTAGAAAAGAAAATTACTGTAATGGTACACTTGATATGTCTCTATAATGGGAAGGGCTTTTCAGGGAGCATTGTTTTGTCTCCTTATCAGCAGCCATTATTATTCAGTGATCACATGCAATTGCAAGTCACTGGTTTGGAAGAAGAAAACAAGAAATGGTGCGTGGGACTGGGCAACTTGCTGGTTATGTCATGGCCACAAAACAAAGAAATAAGAGGACAAAGGTTAAAAGGAGGACCCAAAGAATTGTTGGCTAGTCAGCGCATTTTACCATCAGTTCGGATGCCATAGCCATAATTAGATGACTCTGCAGTACAATGAATATGATTTTTAAACCTGTCAGACTTCAAGCTACAAATAATCCTATTTAATCGTCAAAACACGTAGGACGTAAAAATGCAATCCACTTTTCTGCCTAACCAAATATGCTGGCTTCTGTATATACGCAGAACATGTCCGTTCCAATAGCGGAGAAGGTTTCAAAGTTAGTTATTCAATGGAAATATAATATTTGGAATTTTACATCTTAATTTCCCTGGTTCAACAGCTAGGGCATAATATAAAATGTAGGATTCCTACATGGAACAACATTCTTATCTACAGTTGTTAGATTGGTACGTGTCTTCGTCAATTTTAAGTTATGAAAGAATACAAACCGCTAGATAAGATATCTAGGGCCTCATACCGAAGAACCATTTCCCGCAGATGTCTGGCATCTTAGAATCCTTTAGCTGCTCCAAAATGAATAGTTTTCTGTTTAAGACCTTGTTTCTGACACTTAGCTAAAATGACTCCAAAGAATATGTTGGGTGCGGAAGCTCCAATAACACACGTTGATTTCAAACCGAATTTTAAAGAACGAGATGATATGACAATATTGAAGTATACTAGATTACACACCGAAAAATAAGGTTTAGAAGTAAAGAAAAACACAAAAGATTAATGGCAAAAGACGATATTTATTAATTCAACAATATGAAGAATACAAAACAATTTAGCAATTAACTTTTATCTGTTACTCGACCTAAACTAACAAAGGAGCCTAATATTTATAATGCACGGCCAAATCCTAAGTAGTGTCCCAAAAGGTAAGAAATTAGGTTACAATTAGGAATTTGATCTCATTTCCAACATTAGTCAAATTATGCTTCTTCAATCTTCTAATTTGAGTCACATTCCTAACAATTTCCACATTGACTCAAATTCCGATGCAACGAACGAAACTCCTAAATTTCAAATCTGTTTGCAACGAAATGAACTGGCCGAATCTCTTCAACACAGTAACTACTCCATATAAATCAAACACTCGTCCTCTGCCCGGTATCAACAACCGATACCTGCACCCAAACCCAGGGTTTCCAATTCTACCAAGGAATTAATGTTGATCACACAGAGCTGAAGCACACCCTGTAACAAGAACCAAACCAAATACTTGATCAGAAAGCCCCTTGCTGGACTATCGCCTTCAACATCCCCAGAAGCATCCCAAACATTGCTGACACTAACGTACCTATGCTCGATAAGTCCTACCCGACAACTGAACACAGTGTACTCGCTGAAATTTATGGCAAAGCGGGATCACCAACGCTCTCCTTAGCAGTGTTTTGAACTGACTCAAAGCCTAACCCAAGAGATACTATACCAAACTGAACTTCCACAACGGTACTAAACTTGTCCAAAATGTCTCCTAATCGGTTCTACACTCCCCTACAAAATGTACAACTGGGATCTCTTTCGTCCCTCTAATACAACATGGATTCCTTTTTGGACCTTCAAGACTCCACATTCTCTAGATAATTTATACCCTTTTGCATCTAAGGTACTTAGCAAAATGAGATTCATTTTCAGGTCAGGAATATGTCGAAACTGATCAATTGTTCTAAACGTTCCATCCCATATCCTCAATCTAACGAGACCAATCCCAACAATATGGCAAGATTGGTTGTTTTCCATTACAACTCCACATTGTTGAACAGCCTCATACGTCTGAAACAAATTCCTATCGGAACACATGGTGCGAACATGCTAAATCAAGAATCCACTTCTCGTCAGGCCTAGAATCCTCATCAGATACCACAATCAACATTACCTCTTCGCCATCTGAACAATGCTCAACTACTTGGTTTCGTCTAAATTCTAAGGTTGCACCCCATGATTTGCAAAGTAAATCACCTTTAGCCTACAACATATCGCAATCCTTCCAAATATGTCCTTTCCTTTTACAATAATAACAAGTCACATTGCTAAATTTGCCTCTTCGTCGATCACCTTGAGATACAAGAGCTTCTGCATCCCTTGATGTAGCTCCAACCAAATGCTTCATCTTCTCCTTTGAGTCCAAAGCATCATAGACATCTTCTATAGTCAAAGTATTTCGATTATACAAGATAATATCCCGAGACGACGCAGAAGACCCAGGCAGCGAACATGACAGGATCAAGGCAAGATGATCTTCATCGTACTTAACCTTCAACGTCTCCATATCTGTAATTATTTCCTTGAACACGGCAACATTGTCTTCCAACGACTCTCCTTCTATTATGCGATGTGAATACAGCTTCTGCTTAAGAGTCAGTTTACTTGTAAGACTCTTAGTCATACACAACTGCTCCAACCTCAACCACAAAGTAGCCACCGTTTTCTCCTTCAAGACATCCTGCAAAATGTTATTGGACAAATGAAGATGAATCAATGACGTAGCCTTCCAATCCTTCCGTTGTTTCTCCTTCATTGTCCATCCAGCCGGCATCCTCTCAAAACCCAGCAACGCATCTTCCAAATCCAACCGCGCTAGAACAACCCTTATCTTTACTTGCCACAATGAAAACCTTGTATTGCGATCTAATTGCAGAATATCATACTTCAACCCAGCCCCATCTCGGAAAAAAGTCTCAACCAATCCATAGAAAGTCAACAGCCTAGCTCTGATACCACTTGTCGGGCACGGAAGCTCCAATAACATACGTTGATTTCAAACGAGATTTTAAAGAACGAGATTATATAACAATATTGAAGTATGCTATATCATATACCGAAAAACAAGGTTAAAAAAAAAAAGAATTAATGGCAAAGGACGATGTTTATTAATTCAACAATACGAAAAATACAAAGTAATTTAGCAATTGGCTTCTATCTGTTACTCTACCTAAACTAACAAAGGAGCCTAATATTTATAGACACGGCCAAACCCTAAGTGGAGTCCCAAAAGGTAAGAAATTAGGTTACAATTAGGAATTTGATCTCCTTTCCAACTCTAGTCAAATTATCCTTCTTCAATCTCCTAATTTGAGTCACATTCCTAATAGAATATAGCAACAGAAGAAAAATATAAACAACATTCCACCAATGTACCCAACCTGATTTAAAATATGAGTGGTAATGGAAATCAATTTGTTGTTATCTATAGAAAGAGATTTCATTTTGTTTTTACCAGTTTCTCAGAAATGTAGTTGGCAAGAAATGCACCTCCAAGTATAGTAATTGATGTTTCTAGGAGGTGTCCCATGATAGCCCCACTGCTGACTCCCCATGGAGACTGTAGCACAGATGCAAAAAATAAAGGGAAAATTGCAGTCGAGGTACCAAACCTTTCGTTTATTAGCAGATTTTGCCCAAACCTTTAATTTGTGCCACTGTGAGTATCAAACCTTTAAAAAATATGCAACTCAAGTCCGTATTAACGGTTTCCGTCAGTTTGATCCGAAAAACTGTCAGTTAACTTCAAAAATTAAAAATATAATAATTTTAACCACATAAGGTAAGGGTAAAATTGTAACTCTATAATTTTAACATTAAAAAAACAATTAAAAAGGGGGGAAAAACCCATCTCCTCCTTCATCTTCCCCACTCTGAGGTCCAGTTGGAGTCAACAGCAGCAGCAGGTTTGGGACTGGGGACATCTGTTATTTCTGGGACAGAAGAAAACGATGATACACAATAATGTTGAACGAGACAAAAAGGAATTCGAGGGACTGATGAGGAAGAAGAAGAAAGAACCAAAGATTTCATTTTGCCTTTGTAAATTTTGTACAAGAAATACACATTGAAAGCTATAAACCGGTACTGCGAGGTGCGAGCAGAGGCGAAGGGCTACACGACTGCGGAGGCGGAGGCGGAGGCGGAGGCAATGGGGGCATTGCTGGGCTACACGGAGGCAGAGGCAATGGGGGCATTGCTGGGCTACACGAACTGTCCACTTTCCTAGGTAGAGATCTCGACAGCGACAGAGCTCCCTTTTCAACGACAAGACAGAGCTCGCAGTCGGCAGTGGCGTTGATCCTCTCCCTATAGCGTCGCACAGTGGGGAAGATGAAGGAGGAGATGGGTTTTTCCCCCCTTTTTAATTGTTTTTTTAATATTACATTTATAGAGTTACAATTTTATCCTTACCTTATGTGGTCAAAATTATTATATTTTTAATTTTTGAAGTCAACTGACAGTTTTTCGGGTCAAACTGACGGAAACCGTTAATACGGACTTGAGTTGCATATTTTTTAAAGGTTTGGTACTCACAGTGGCACAAATTAAAGGTTTGGACAAAGTCTGCTAATAAACGAAAGGTTTGGTACCTCGACTGCAATTTTCCCAAAAATAAAGTTATCTTGATATCTAGCTCTTATTTTATGAAGAACAGAATTTAATGTCAAAGCAAAAACTTCCAGAAGATAATAATAGCGCTTCACCAAGAGATATTATTTCCAGCATTGAATGGTCTCCTCATTCCTAAAAGCAACAGCAAATTGTAATTGTTCAAATTTTAGAACAAAGGCAATACACAAAGTTAAGTTCATGCTTAAGCACCTAAGTTGTAACTGAGATCCAAAGAATATGTTTTATAGACCATAAAAAATTATTCTCACTGCAATAGAAAAAGCATCTTGCAGCGATGAATGACTTCTCAGAACTTCAAGTGGATTCTACAGCCGTTTCGACACCTGTGAAGGCATTATTCATAGAAGTCATGATAATGAAATTTCAGAAAACAAAAATATTTAGGAGAGAGAACAAATGTGGGATTGATGATCGAAAGTATAAAATTTCAGGGTAATTCTATGCATTATTGAATTCTAAGCACTAATAAAGTTATTGACAGAAGATTTGTTTAGAGAATGGAATCCACGAGGTAGCTGCAAATGCATAACCTTTTCCTTCACAAGCTTCTCAGCTTCAACAAATTCGTCAGATTCCTGGTTGCCTTGATCACCAGTTTTAGCTAATCTGGATGGAAGTAACCATGCATATTCAATTGATTTCAGACCAAATTACATCAAAAGGGCCACTGCTGCATTTTCTTCGATGGGCAAGGCTGTTTGTTATTAAGAAATCCTGGTTGCAAAGAAGAAAAGTTTGTCGAACAGTAGATGATCATAAACTCATTTCCTTTAAAAGATGCATCACTAATTGGAGAATTGCAACATAACAATTTATGATACCCCACGGAAATAACTCGATCATCTTTGTTATTTCTCACAATATCCTCTCACTTTAATTTCTCTTTCTTTTAATCAGGTAATCAGTTGAACAGAACACATTTCATAACACAAATACCAAGAAAGAATCAATATGGAACAGACTACTAGTTTGAAACTCAGCAGGCACTGAATGACATATTCAGCCAATAATGACGGATAGGACACTCATTGTAATAATGCACCCATTGATCCCAAAATAACCTGATCCATAGTCAACACCTGTAAGAATAACAGCATGTCTATTGCCAAAATCATTAGCAACTCGGCTCTAGGCATTACGAATAAAGAATACTATAATATGATAAAATGAACCATATAAGATTGATTCACAAAGAACACAGTTCTGTTCTAAATTGCATTATTACCTGAAACAGACTGAGGATATAATTAAGGAATGATGACTTCGGTGGTTGGGACATGTCTTGCATAGACTCAAAGGGGCTCCTGTAATAAGAGCCATTCAATCTTACAAGAATGCATTAGAAGAGGGAGTAGTAGATATATATATAACATCAGCTGTCGTGGTCGCTAAAGATCATCTAGTAAATGTTGCAATGGAAAGGACTCATTTAGCTGACCACAAATTTAGCGGTAATAAGCAGTAGTCACCTCAGTATATCTTGTCTTCTGAATAGATATCTTCTTATGAGAAGAAAACTAAAAAGAGGTGAATTTCAGTTTATGCAAAATTGCAGACTTGATTACAGCATTTACTATTACTGATTTCAAGTACGAGGAAAATGGGAACCGGAAATAAAAAAATAAATAGATAAAAGAACTGTCAAATATAAACAATGAGCTAAAGGAAATAAAAATCATATATGTATGCATACGAGGACAAGCAAATATACAGAGATGGCAGAAACTTGTTTAGTGCTAGTATACATGTGCTAAAAAGAAGAAAAGAAACACCGGATCTTGTGTTATTGGAAATAGCTTACCTTGCCCCAATCTCAGAAACAAAATATCAAAGAAAATGCAGAAGTGAAGCCAGACTTTACAATTGATGGTAAGAGTAATGAAATTTTTTTCATGAATACAATGTCCAAAAATATTGAAGTTCATCTGCATAGCATGAGAGAGAGAGAGAGAGAGAGAGAGAGAGAGAGGATATGGAATTTGAGCAGGTGATGTCTCGCTGCCATTCACGAAAATTGAGAATTTGAATAAGCTTTTCCAGTTCTGGTTCTTGCCAATATTTGTACTACGTTTTTTTCCTACTTTACCAGCAAGAAAGCTAGAAAAGAGAAATCATAAGAAAACTAAACATTTCATTCCCACAGACAATAAGATATACAATGTCTCCCACACTTCTATTAAAGAAATCAGAAGATAAGCTTAAGTGACTACTTAATGTTTTTCAACAAATAAACATTTTCAGTTGTGTTTATGATGTAGGGAGATTAATAAATCAGTAAATAACAAGAAGGGAAGGGGGAGGAGAAGAGAAGAAGAAGGCAGAAACGGGGAGGAGGAGAGAAAACGGCCAAGCCAACTTTATAATTCTTAATCAATTCATCAACTGAGAAATTACAAACCAATGATAGGTTTAAATAATGAAAACCTAGAAATATAGGGCCAAGCCCATTGTTTAAGTCCTAATTAAAATACGTAAACCTAAATAAAAGTCCAACTGAAACAATAATAAAAGTCCAACTAAAATACTGAAACAATAATAAAAGTCCAACTATAAGGATGTCCTCATCAACTCGCCCGGGGTGGGAGAAAACTCGACTCTGTCGAGTGGATATATCATCGTAGATTCTCGTCAATCTCCCAACCATAAGCTGAGTGGTTGGGCAAGTTTCTTCCGGCGTCGGTAGAAATGCGTCAGTGGCGGTCTGAACCTGGTGTCCTCATCAACTCCCCTCGGGTGGACGGGAGGCGATCTGGGCCAAGGAAGATCCTGCTGACTCCGATAAAGCTCTAGCAAATTTGGATCCAAATGCTGTAGCGTCTCCCTGGAGATCCATGCACAATCAGAATTTGGGTGACCAACCCAACGAACAAGGAAGCGCTGAACCTCTCCATCATTAGTGAACACAGTTTCTTCATCTAAAAGAGCATCAATTTTATCTGTGTGTGCTGTGAGAGGTGGTAGTGGGTTAGAGGGGGCCAAAGAATTAGGATCAAGGTCCACAAAAGGAGGTAACAGGGGATCATCTGAGGGAATGAAATGGCCTTTATAAGCTACAAGGTTTTCAACATTGAAAGTATGGTGGTAACCAATGTGGGATGGAATGTCAACAATATATGCATTTGGACCAACTTGCTTTAAAATTTTAAAAGGACCAGCACTACGAGCCTGCAATTCGGAGGCGGGTCCATGTAGACGCCGCTTTGGCCTAATGCGAACCATAACGTAATCCCCAACATTAAACTCAATATGTCGTTTATGTAAATCGGCTTGTAGTTTATAATTTGCATTACTAGCTTCAAGTTGTTTATTGATCTCAATGTGCAAATCATGAAGGTGTTGTGCGAATGCTTCGGCTGATACTGACACTCTAGCCTGTGGGGACATAGGGATGAGATCTAATGGTTTCTTAGGCTTGTATCCGTGAACGGCTTCAAATGGACTCATACCTAATGAACGATTTACGGAGCTATTATACGCGATTTGAGCGACAGGAAGGATTAAATCCCAATTTCGAAGGTTCTCCCGGACCAGACAACGTAATAAGTTACCAAGACTCCGATTAACAACTTCGGTCTGACCGTCAGTTTGACGGTGGTAGGCTGTAGAAAATTTTAATTTGGTACCCATCTTATGCCACAAAGTCCTCCAAAAATGGCTAGTGAAGCGAACATCCCTATCGGACACGATGGTCTTGGGAAGCCCATACAGTTTGACAATCTCATTAAAGAATAACATGGCAACCTTGGACGTATCCGATGTTTTGCTACAGGGGATAAAGTGAGCCATTTTCGAGAAACGATCGACAACCACGAAAATAGAATCATGCTTCTTTGGGGTGCGTGGAAGGCTTAGCACAAAATCCATACTAACGTCTTGCCAAGGACAATTGGGGACGGGGAGAGGAATGTATAGGCCTGTGTTCTGCTTCTTCTGTTTGGCCAATTGACAAGTGTTACATGTACTAACAATTTTAGCTACATCTCTCTTTAAACTAGGCCAATAGAATTGGCGTTCAACCTCCTCAATGGTCTTATCACGCCCAAAGTGACCGGCTAACCCTCCCGCGTGAACT